CTGTGTGGTCAGTGTGCTCCAGTAATTGACCAGCGCTGTGGCTGATGGGGGTAATTGCTCATCACAGGCCACGGGGAGGCTTTTATTTGCTCTGAGAGACTCTTTGTGTTCACTGAGAGCTCGGCTTTGTTTGTGCTACAAAAACTAATTAAAGCACTTGTTGAGCCGTACAATCTCCACTGACGGAGCACAGAAAAGAAACTGGAGGAAATGTTGAGGGATAAGTGAGTAGCTGAGTTTTGGATTCGTTCATAAAACACATACTATGGTAATTTAAGAAAATATGAGATTGTAATAGTGCTTCCATGTCTGAAAAGTTTATATGCAAAAGCAGTTAGCTCTGTTTATAATCATTTTCAGAAATCCTGTTTTTACATTGGGTACTGAAGAGTATAACTGCAAAACAAAGAGCATTTCTAATAATCAAGTCGTTATATTCATTCACCTGTATTCCTTCAGCTTAGTCCCTTTATTCCTCAGGGTTGGCCAAGTGGAATGAACCGCCAACTATTTCAACAGATGTTTTACACAGTGGATGCCCTTCCAGTACTGGGAAACACCCATACACACAAATCCACACACACACTCGTACACTACAGCCAATTTAGTTCATCAATTCCCATATAGCGCATGTGATTGGACTGTGGGGAGCACTCAGAGGAAACTCGGGGAGAACATGCAAACTCCACACAGAAACGCCAATTGACCCAGCCAGGACTTAAACTAGAGACCTTCCTGCTGTGAGGTGATCGTGCTAACCACTGAGCCACCGAACTCTTTATATATAAAACATTAATATTGAATTTACTATATCATACAGTGTTCAGCTTAAATGACCACACCCCCTTTTGAAAATCTATATGTTTATCCATTTCTCAGTGAATGAGGATAATAACCTTTGATGCAATCAAACAGGTTTTATTTAACAGTTTAACCATTAAAATAAGAGTTTGCTCACCAAACATCTTCAGGAATTTCAGTGTAAAATGCATCAAATTTTTATATTTTTTTATGTTTCTCTTGATTTTTCCTCTTCTAAACTTTTATTTTAAGAGCACCTATGGTGAAAAATCTACTTTTCAAGCTGTTTGGATAGACATATGTGTAGGTATAGTGTATAGACCGTCATATTGGGCTGATATAAACACACCCAGTCCTTTTTTAATTTACCAACATAAAAACGGTGGACCAATTGGAGCGGTTTTCAGACCGACTGCAACTTGGCGTAGGAGTGCAGTCCCCCCGCCCACCGAATTGATTGACAGCTGCGTATTAACATGTCTCCATAGTAACGCATATCATATCAACAAGACAAGCAAAGCAACTGGGAATAAAAGATCTGTTCAGCTCTCTGTGATTATTAATCTTCATTAAATGTGATCAGGAGTGAGTTTTACAAGTTTAAAATGTTTTAAATCAGAGCATGTGTGTAATGAAGTACAGCGATTTACTTTAGATTTACTTTATCAGCACAGCCGCGTGTCAGAACAAATATAAATGAAGACGCTTAAACCCTGGTTTGTGGACTTTAGGTCAGGTTTATTTTGTACATTTACATAACAAATATCGACACAGCAGTGGAGATTAGCCTGTATCCTGTCACATTTACTGTGCAAAATAAGTGCAAAGCTAAACTCGAGTGATGTCTGTGGCTGTTTCTCAATCTTCAGCGGTCTTGCGTCTTCGTGTTCTCGTGTGACGTCTTCATCAGCTGCCAAAGTTCAGTTCCAGTACTCAAGAGCGCAAGAACAGAGGACGCGTGAACCTTCCCGGATGTAATCTTGATATCGAGGATGCAACGATGCAGACTTGAGCACCGATCTCACTCTAGAAGTCCCAGAAGTCATTGCGGTTGGAGATGGAAAGTGCAGCATTTTATCTAGATTTATTAAAAAGTTCATAACTTATTTACCTCAGGAGTTTCCCTAAATGAAACAGTGAATATAAACATTACTATGGACATCTTAATAAAGCAGGCCCGGGCCTAACCCTAGGCAAGATTTCAGGTGGAGCCCCGTCACATTGCAAGCTTTTTGACCGACTACAAGCTGGGAAAACGTCAGATACATATGCTAATGCAATTGACGTTATTGTTGAATAGATCTAATATTTACACATTTGCTTGAGGAAGGAATGATGGGGGTAGTTACATTAATATTACTATTTTCCATAACATCTATGCCCTTCCATAACATTAGCTGACGTTAAACCTAACAGAGAGCACTATAGCTATTTATTGATTAGCAATGTTATGTCATATCTGTCAACGTTGGGATGTTAAAAAATATGGGACAACAAATAGCTTCAAATGATAGAATACATAGCAAACAATAGAAGATATTGACAATAAAATAAAAGGTTTAGCCTATTAAAATCAACGGCCTATCCAGAAATTAAATAAAGCTATAAAATCTACTTCACGTTTGATTGTATTTGCATATTGATTAAAGTTACTGTAGTTATTTAGTGAAGAGCAGCAAATGAATCTCTCATTGTGTTTTGTTTGATAACAGAGGTGTTCATGTAAGAATGCACAGATCTATAATGAAGCATTCGACTACTTTAGTAACTGTTTGTGCTCATTTAAGAGAAAATTAGTCGTGTTTAAAATAAAACACGCAGGATGGAGCAAAAAAAAAAAAAAAAAAAAACGGAAAAAATAAGCACTTTTCCGACGGTCCCTTACTTAGAGCTCATATTGCGAGGGCTTAAACGGAGCAGTGCTCGTAATGTCGAGCGAAAAAAAAAGAAAAAGACAGCTGTGAATCATAACCAGCTTTGTCTTTTTGTAGGAAACACGCTTTAGATCTTTTTAGGGTAAGTAATATAGTTATTGCCGTTTATCACTAAATGCGTCAGAAATATCAAAAACAAAACCATCTTATCCACGCTCATTTATGGCGCCCCCTGGATTTACAGCGCCCTTAGCATTTGCCTATACTGCCTATGCCACGGGCCGGCCCTGTAATAAAGGAATAAACACATTAAACAAATTATGTTTGTTTGCTGAAATTCATATTAAAACCTGTTTTACTTGTATTGTGCAGAGTGTATTTATCATGTTTTTATGAAGAGTATATACTTTGAAAAGGGGAAAAACAATAAATTGTTGTATGAAGGCTGTAATGTTTAAATAATATTTAATTTAAAATGCATGAAGGTCACGTGACCATCAGAGAGAACGCACCATTTCATTTCTCACAGGACACGTTCTCTGCCCTGGCGGTCTCCTGAGTTCGTTTTTTCGAGGACACCTGGCAAGACCAAGAACGCAAGTCCGTTCTCTGCGTTCTTGGAATTGAGAAACAGCCAATGTGTGTGTGTGTGTGTGTGTGTATTTGAGGAAACGTAAGCATTTTAGGTTTTGTTAGTTTAGTGGCTAATTTGTACAAATTCATACGAGTTCATTCGTATGTAAATTTACGATTTTACAAAGGATGCGTGGCACTCAACCCCACCACTAACCCTAACCGTCATTAGGTGATGAGCAAATCGTACTAAATTGCACGAATTAGATCATACAAATTCATACGAATTAGCCACTAAATCAAAAAGTTACGAATTGCCGTGAAATTTTCGTTGGTATTTGTGTGTGTACGCGTGAGGTTTGTAACGACATCATGTCATTGCAACTCCCTAACAAATGCATCAAATACTCGTTGGTAAAGCTCTTACTGTAGTATTTCTGACAAACGCTACGTGAGATCTTCTTCCTTTAAGTCTGTCTGTTGTCTGACGCAGTAGAGGAAGGAGACTGAGGCAAGCCGAAAGGCACGTAGAAACAGTGGGCGAGGAGGACTAGGCCTGAAGGCGCAGTTCACAAAAAACGCCCCCTGGTGCTCAGTTGTACAAAAGAGAAACTTATAATAGGTAAAATAAAAAAATCTGATGGGTGTTTTGAGCTGAAACTTTACAGACACATTCTGGAGACGCAATACACCCTTTAATATTTCCCCCAACATATTTATTTGGCTGCAGTAATTTCTGTACTGTGGTCTTCAGGGTTTTTGTTAGATTAGTTCATCATTTTGTCTTTGGCACTGACTTATCTAATGTATATACACAAATGTATGACTGTAAATCCTCCTGTAGGAAATATTGATGTAAAAGAGAGATCTGTGAGGGCTCAACTCATTTATGATCAACACTGAATCTTTATGGCGGTATGAGTTTTTGTTCTTTTTTTGCTCAGCCCTGCTGCAAACATTACTCAGAGACCAAACATTCAAAGCAGCGACACTTCATTGTCGGAGGAAAAAAAGCTTTTACTCACACTTTGTGGTCAGCTTATTCTGAGCATTCATACATTTGATTTATGACATCCCACATGCAGCGTTTCTGGATTCAATATGCTTCTGCCACACTGACATATTCACTACACTGCTGCACGTTATGGGATGTGTTTAAACATTTGACTATATATATATATATATATATATATATATATATATATATATATATATATTTTTTTTTATATATATTTTCGGCTGGGTCAGTTGGCGTTTCTGTGTGGAGTTTGCATGTTCTCCCTACGTTCGCGTGGGTTTCCTCTGGGTGCTCCGGTTTCCCCCACAGTCTAAAGACATGCACTATAGGTGAACTGTCCATAATGTGTGTGTGTGTGTGTGTGTATGAATGTGTATGGATGTTTCCCATGGATGGGTTGCGACTGGAAGGGCTTCCACTGTGTAAAACATGTCCTGGTTAAGTTGGCGGTTCATTCCGCTGTGGCGAACCCAGATTATTAAAGGGACTAAGCTGAAAAGAAAATGAATGACTGAATTTGTTTTTTTATATTTTTTAGCTTTTAAAAGATTGACAGTATAATGATGGCATAAATGAAACTAAATTATATGATGTTCATTTGACTATTATTGTGTCTCGTAGAACTTTTTGTCTCCGTTTAAGATTTTCACACAAGTTTACTTAAAATGTAGATCATATTTAGAAAACCAAAACTGCTTAATTTCAAAAACAGTCCAAATAATAAACCAACCAGATGAATGAGAAGACTTAATTTATTTATAAATGACTCGCTTCATGGTCTACCTCCATTCAGCAAAACCAGTGAAACACAAAACTGTCTCCAAACTGCTCATAATTTAAGACATAAATTAGATTTGATGTAAATAGGAAATTAAATAAAACAAAGTCAAGCGGCAGGACCAAAAATGAAATTAAAGCATATATGGTTCACTGTACACCAGATTGAAGATTACGTCCTGATCGAATCTATCAAAGAAAGTTTTCTAAACACAGGCTTAAAAAAATAAAAGAAATACATTTGAATTAAATCAAAAAAACACAACGTGTGCATGTATTGGAAGCCCAAACGTCAGACTCTCTGACAGAATAAAGACACACATCGGGCATCTAAAACAGCCGCCTCTAAAGGTCGTCAAAGATAACAATAAAACAGATACAGAGAATTCAATATTCATATTAAACATCTTCAACAATACTCCCCATAATGAAGGAAACTCCAGACTAACTGAAGCCTGAAGTTCTTGTGTACTGAAAACACTCCAAAATAAAGGTTGATGATTGGGTCAAATATGGACAAACCCAACCACTGGGTTAAACAGAGTCATTTCAATTAAATTGGAAAAAATTAACCCTACATTGGGTTTGTTCAAATGTGACCCAACATTATTTTATTGCATACAAAGTTTTTCTCTCAAAACCCAAAAGTCTACAAAATGAATTTGTGATGTACTGCTTTTAAAATGCTTGGTTGTTCCACCCAATGTTAGGTCAAACATAGACTAACCCAACCATTGGGTTATTTTTAAAAATGACTTTTTAACCCAAAAGTTGGGTTTTTACTTAAATCCAAATTGCGTTAAATATGGACAAACACAACCATTGGCCTAAAAAGCATAATTAAATTAAATTGAAAAAATGAACCAAACATTATGTTCGTCCAAATGTGACACAATGATGGGTTAAAACAGCCTAGTCTATTTTTGAAGAGTGAGTGCAAAGTTTTTCTCTCAAAACCTGAAGGTCTCAAAACTGCTCTCTACCATCTAAAATAGCTGGGTTGTTCCAAATCAAATCGGATCAAATATGTACAAACCCAATTATTGGGTTAAAAAGTGTAATGATTGACCACAATGGTAAAAATAATGGCTGTTTTAATCCAACACTGGCTCAAACCTAATATTTTTTTTAATTAAATAACACTTTTCAACCCAATGGTTGGGTTTGTCCATATTTGACAATCTACACCAAATCATAACCTAACTTTAAGGTTAAAAAGGAATTTTACAAATTAACCCAGGGGTTGGGTTTGTCCATATATGACCTAGCTTTGGGTTACAACAACCCAACATTTTTAAGGCTGTTCACTCTAATAAATGCTGCATTGTTTCAACCCAAATTGGACAAACCTAGCAGTTGGTTCTGTCCCTATTTGACCCAAAATTTGGTTCAAATCACCAATAGTTTTTCAGAAAGTACACAAAAAATTATTGTTTGTTTTAAACCAATATTGGTTTAATTTAAAAAAAAAATTTAATTTAAAAGACGCTTTTTAACCTAATGGTTGGGTTTGTCCATATTTGACCCAATATTGGGTTTAATAACACTTTAAAAATTCTAGGTTATATATGGGTTGTTCAGACTGTTGTGTTTGTCCATATTTGACCCGATATGGTTTTGAATAATGTAGCATTTTTAGAGTGTTGTTGTAACCCAAACTTGCGTAAATTATGGGCAAACCAGACTTTCGGGTTACAAAGCATAGTTTAAAGAATGAAGCCGATAGTTGTGTTAGGCCATATTTGAACCAACATTGAGGAAAACAACCAAACATTTTTAGAGAGCAGAGCCAGCATATGTACATGTACAGTCTTTATAAAGCTGGCTCGGGTCAAATATGGGCAAACCCATTTAAATAATAAAAATGACCCAACTTTGGGTTTTAACAACACGGCAAGTGTTTCATGAAATGGGTGAAATATGGACAAACGCAAAGTTGATTTATAGTTATGCCTATGAATTGAACTGAATAAATGATGCCAGCAGTTAGTTCTGTGCATATTTGACTAAATTTGTTTGAAATGACCCATAATTCTTTTAGAAATCACACTAAAAATTATTATTTGTTTTAAACCAGTGCTGGTTTAATTTGTCCAATTAAATTTAAATGACACATTTTAACCAAATGGTTGGGTTTATCCATATGTGACCCAATATTGTGTTAAAACAACACTCTAAAATGTTAGGTGTTAAAAATGCTGGGGTTTTATTATGCAAGTTTGGGTCAAATATCGGCAAACCCAACTGTTGTGTTTGTCCATATTTGACCTGATGTGGCTTTGAATAATGTTGCATTTTTAGAGTGCTGTTGTAACCCAATATTGGGTCAAATATGGATAAACCCATTTAAATAATAAAAATGACCCAACTTTGGGTTATAACAACACAGCAAGTGTTTCATAAAATAAAATATGGACAAATGCAAAGTTGATTTATACTTATGCCTATGAAGTGAACTGAATAAATGACGCCAGCAGTTAGTTCTGTGCATATTTGACACAAAATTTGTTTGAAATGACCCATAATTATTTTAGAAATCACACTAAAAATGATTATTTGTTTTAAACCAGTGCTGGTTTTATATTTTCAATTAAGTTTAAATGACACTTTTTAACCCAATGGTTGGGTTTGTCCATATTTGACCCAATATTGGGTTACAACAACACTCTAAAATGTTAGGTGTCAAAAATGCTGAGTTTTTATAATGATTGTTTGGGTCAAATATGGGCAAACCCAACTGTTGTGTTTGCTCATATTTGACCTGATATAGTTTTGAATAATGTCGCATTTTTAGTGTTGTTGTAACCCAAACTTGAGTCAAATATGGGCAAACCAGACTTTTGGGTTACAAAGCGTAATTAAAAAGAATGAACCCAATAGTTGAGTTTGGCCATTTTTGACCCAACATTGAGTAAAACAGCCCAACATTTTTTAGAGAGCAGTTTTGAGAAAAACTTTGTATTCACTCTAAAAAAAGAGTCTGGGCTATCATGACCCAGCATATGTACATGTACAGTCTTTAAAAAGCTGGCTCGGGTCAAATATGGGCAAACCCATTTAAATAATAAAAATGACCCAACTTTGGGTTTTAACAACACAGCAAGTGTTTCATGAAATGGGTAAAATATGGACAAACGCAAAGTTGATTTATAGTTATGCCTCTAAAGTGAACTGAATAAATGATGCCAGCAGTTAGTTCTGTGCATATTTGACTAAATTTGGTTGAAATGACCCATAATTCTTTTAGAAATCACACTAAAAATGATCATTTGTTTTAAACCAGTGCTGGTTTAATTTTTCCAATTAAATTTAAAGGACACATTTTAACCCAATGGTTGGGTTTGTCCATATTTGACCCAATATTGGGTTACAACAACACTCTAAAATGTTAGGTGTTAAAAATGCTGTTTTTTATGCAAGTTTGGGTCAAATATGGGCAAACCCAACTGTTGTGTTTGTCCATATTTGACCTGATATGGTTTTGAACAATGCAGCATTTTTAGAGTGTTGTTGTAACCCAATATTGGGTCAAATATGGATAAACCCATTTAAATAATAAAAATGACCCAACTTTGGGTTATTATAACACAGAAAGTGTCTCATGAAATAAAATATGGACAAATGCAAAGATGATTTATAGTTATGCCTCTGAATTACACTGAATAAATGACGCCTGCAGTTAGTTCTATGCATATTGGACTAAATTTGGTTGAAATGACCCATAATTATTTTAGAAATCACACTAAAAATGATCATTTGTTCAAAACCAATGCTGTTTAAATTTGTTCAATTAAATTTAAATGACACATTTTAACCCAATGCTTAGGTTTGTCCACATGTGACCCAACATTTGGCTGGCGCTTTTATTAGAGTGTTTGAAGCACTACTCAACTACGTACATGTAGCAATAAAAAAATAAAAATAAAGTTGTTTTGTTTGTTTGCATCATTAGAATGCAGATTAGCACCAATCCTGCAGCAGTGTGTCCTGGGGACAGAGGTTAAATCTCCAGCAGTCCACTGCCGCTGTCCACACCGTTGCCTGTGCTGCTCTTTTCCTCTCCTCCGACCGCCGGCTCCTGGATGCCGATCTCAGACCCCGCCGGAGCCACTTTATCTGCAGAACTCTCCTCGGCGCGGGTCTCCGGCTCCTCTTTCCCCTGCAGGCTGGCTTCAGAGTGTGTTTTCTGGTGTTTGCTGAGGTGGTCGCTGCGGGTGAAGCGCTTATTGCACAGCAGACACGTGAACTTCTTTTCCCGGGTGTGTGTGCGGACGTGGCGCTCCAGTTCGTCAGAGCGAGTGAAGCGTTTCCCGCAGAACAGCCAGTTGCAGACGAACGGCCGCTCACCTGTATGCCAGCGCAGGTGGGCTTTCAGATGCGAGGCTTTACCGTACACCTTCCCGCAGCCGGGGATGTGGCAGCTGTGGACAGGTTTCTTCCGCAGCGATGCTGCTGACGCTCCGAGCCTTTCCAGCTCCTGACAATTCGGGCAATCGCAAGAAGACCTGCAGAGAGATAATGACTCAATAAACATGCACACTTTTCACAAGACTGTTATGATGCATCTAATGCTTGAATCCTTAAATGTTATTAATATTTAGATTTGTTTTTAAACATATGAACATTTACATGTACAGTTGATGTCAGAATTATTAGCCTCCTTGTCTATTTTCTAGCAAGTTTTTAAGCATAATACACTGAAAATAGTGTTGCATGCAGAATTGTTGCAAGCAATTGATTTGTGTTGAATTTAAACCAACAAATTAAGTTTAATAATGTTCAACTTAATTTGTTTGTTTAAATTCAGCCCAAATAAATTGTTTACAACCACTTAACGTAAAAATAGAGTAAATCCAAGAAATCACCTTTGAGTAGTTTGTTTTTCAGTGTAGTTTTAATAATTCATCTCTGATAACTGATTTATTTTCTCTTCACCTTGATGACAGCACATAATATTAGACTAGATAGGCAAGGCAAGTTTATTTCTATAGCACATTTCATACACAAGGGCAATTCAAAGTGCTTTACATAAACAGGAATACAAGAGACGAGTGTAAGAAAATAAAAACAAATAATAAGAATTCTAAAAATAAGAATAAAAAACAGATAAAACAAATTAAAATGTGTTAAAATAGGTTTTAAGATAATGAAAAAGAAAAGAAAGACATAATAGTGCGATCTGTCGGACGCAGCACAGTGCTCATTCAGTAAAGGCACAGCTAAACAGATGTGTGTTCAGTCTTGATGTGAATGTGCCTAATGTTGGAGCACATCTGATCACTTCTAGAAAGCTGATTCCAGCAGCAGGGGGCGCTGTTAGTTGCTGAAAGCTGCTTTGACTGAACTCTTGGAACTTCTAGTTTATATGATCCTAAAGATCTGAGTGATCTGTTGAGTTTGTATTCAGTGAGCATATCAGTAATGTATTGAGCTCCTAGGCCATTTAGTGATTTATAGAGCAGTAATAATACTTTAAACTCTATTCTGAATGTAACTGGGAGCCAGTGTAGAGACCTGAGGACAGGTGTGATGTGCTCTGATTTTCTGGTTCTGGTCAGAATTCTGGCTGCAGCGTTCTGGATGAGCTGCAACTGTCTGACTGTCTTTTTGGGAAGGCCATTGAGGAGTCCATTACAGTAATCCATCCTGCTGCTGATAAAAGCATCAACAAGTTTCTCTGAGTCTTCACTGGAAACAAAGCATCTGATTCTTGCAATGTTTTTGAGATGATAGTATGCTGATTTACTGTCTGCTTTGACATGACTGTTAAAACTCAGATCTGACTCCAGAGTCATATTCTTCAAGACACTAGAATTCAGCTTAAAGTGACATTTAAAGGCTTCACTAGGGTAATTAGGGTAAAGTTAGGGTAATTAGGCAAGTCACTGTATAGTGGTTTGTTCTGGAGACAATCCAAAACTAATATTGATAAAGGGGGCAAATAATAGTGACCTTAAAATGGGTTTAAAACAATTAAGAACTGCTTTTATTCTAGCCGAAATAAGACTTTCTCCAGAAGAAAAAAAAATTCACAGGAGGACTTCAACTGTATGTATTATATAATCTTCGCATCGAATTACACTAAACGAATGACCGCTTAAGTGAAGTGTTTGTAATGCAACGTCTGTGGGTGCAGGACAGTAAATCTGACATTATTCTCTCCTCTGGCTCCTGTTATCAGCCTCACACTATTGTTTTCCTTTTTCTGAAAGTCTTGATAACACCATCATGTTTTCTTTTATTACTTCAGATTGTAAATAAATGATTTGCTGTACTCTCCTATTTACTGCGATCTGAGTTTACCAACTATGACCACTTCTGCTGCTGAGAAATGCTTTCACATACGCAAATGTGAAAAGGGTTCGTATTGATATCATGGGCACTTCAAAATACTGTGAATAATTATTTATTATGTAAACTGCAAAAATGCCTTTCCAAAATGAGTTTTTGTCTTGTTTGTCGTCTAAATATATTCAATTCTTAAATAAATAAGCGGTAAATAATATTTTTTTGTTTTAAGGCATAATAAGGCTAGATTAAGTAAGCTTGTTTTAGGGAAAAACTCACTTAATTTTGGCATATTATTTCTTAAAACAAGACTATGGGCCCTATCATACACCCGTCGCAATGTGGCGCAAGGCGCAATGCAATTGTTGTTTGCTAGTTTCAGCTTGGCGCAAGAGTTGTATTGACGTTTTCCGTCAAGCTGTTTAAATAGCAAATGCATTTGCGCTCATATGTGCGCCCATAGGTGTTCTGGTCTAAAATGGTTGAGGTGTATTGCAAATTTGAGAAACTATAATAGATTTTTCAATAGACCAGAACAAAGCCGGTCTACTGTCCAGTGCAGAGCGCAGTAGTTATGCGCCTCGCTTACACACTGCTTAATACACACAAGATGTAGAGCAATATGCAAATATCTTTACATATGAAAAAATGTAAATATTAAGGATATATATAGGATATAATAAGAATAGATATAGGATATAAATATAAAGAATTAAAATATTACAAAACATATTATTTTCTAGCCTACATGAATATAAACACCACTGCCTTCATGCCTTCTTCATCTCGGGAGGCTTTTTCAGTTCATTCATAACAATTTGCTTTTGTATAATGTTATTATTATTAGCAGTATTATTTATTATATCCATATTTATATTTGTTTTATTAAAAACAAGCTTAGATTTGTCCACCTGCAGGTTTTAGGCCATATGTGGCACAGCATGTGTTTTAGGATATAACTCAGGTTTTTGAGCACACTTCGTTATTGTTGTTCATTTATTCGTTTGCTGGAAATTAGAACTGAATTTAGAAATAGTTTTGAAACAAATCTTTAGACTTAACAAACGAAATTAATTATTTATAGGCTAATTGATGTCTGTGAGTACAAGGTTACCTGATCCACGATAGCGAAAGAGAAAGTGAATAATTTATCTCTCATTCTCGCGCTGTAGATGCTCTGTTTAACTGTGTTCTTGCTAGTGAAATGCTCAGTTTTTCCACTTACACTTACTTTACATCACGCAGCTGGCTCTTGAAGGGAATGGGAGATGAGACTCTGATTGGTTTTTTCTCAAAACACACCTATAACTCATTAAGAAAATAAACTCAACCCGTTTAGACCATGTGCCACGGCGCAAAGCAGATTTTCCCGTTCTTATATTAACAAAAGTGGATTCAGACACGCCCTGAAAGTGTTAGTTAATGCATTGTGAAAAACATAAATGCACTATTGTTTATTGATGAGGCTTTTGTATATGAGACTATTGTAAAGTGTTATCTATTGTACTTTGATTATTTAGCTATTAATTTGACTTCAAAAGCAGAATACTGTATACAAGTTCAATATAAACTCTTCATAAAACTATTGAACAGCCCCCATAATTATCAATATAATATATGATACAACATACAATTAAAAAATAACTTTTGATCCACTTAAAATGTTGATTACTATATGCAATAAAGCAATGAACTAAGCATTTGTTCGGTTTCTAGTCCAAAATCTAAACATTCTTAAATCTAGAAGCATTTTCTATTCTAGTATGAAACACAGTTTTGTTTTCAGAAATAATAAGTCAGAATTAAGTGAGATTTCCTTTAAGCCAAGCAAAATAATCTGCCATTGGGATAAGAAAAATAATCGAACTGAAGCAAAGACAAATTTATTCATCTTGTACTATTGGCGGATTATTTTTGCTTGTTAAAAGAAAAAAAAACTTTTGATTTCGACACAATATTTCTAAAATCAAAACAATTTTTTTTACCAGTCTACAACATGCTTCTTGATTTAAGATGTTTTAGATATCTGTTCTAAAAACAAGACTAAAACACCAAGTGAGAAAAACATTTTTTGCACTGTATTATATAGTTGAAGGTAAGATTATTCACCTTCCTGTAATTTTTTTCTTCCAATAATTCCCAAATAATGTTTAACATAATAAGGAATTTTTCACAGTATTTCCTATAATATTTTTTCTTCTGGAGAAAGTCTTATTTCATTTACTTCAGCTAAAATGAAAGCAGTTTTTATTTATTTTATAGAACCATTATTAAAAATGATTAATTATTAATTAATTATTAGAAATGGTCGTGCCCAACTGAGTCTGGTTTCTCTCAAGGATTTTATCCTTCACTTTCGCCAATTGGTGAAGTTTTTTCCTTGCCGCTGTCGCCACTGGCTTGCATGGTTCGGGACTTGTAGAGCTGCACATCAATGGATTTGCTCCTCAGTGTTTGGACTCTCAGCAGTGAATATATTAAACCAGCTAAACTGAACTGAACTTAAACTCTGAAAACTGAACTGACACTGTTTACATTCACTATAATCTTATATGTGAAGCTGTTTTGACACAATCCACATTGTAAAGCGCTATACAAATAAAGGGGAATATTAGGTCTGTTTTAGGGCTGGGCCGATTAACAACATCATATCGAATCGCAATAAAATTTACGTTGATACCGATGATAAGCTCTGGACATTATTCCTTGAAATTGATCCTAAGAGCCAATCACACAGCAGAAATATGAAACAACACGATTGTATAATTGTGTCCATATTAGAGATTCAGTGAATTTTTGGTCACCAAGAAAATAATAATAACCAATAAGAGTGGGAGAAGAGGGTTGCATTGACAATCCAACACAATGGGCAGCACAATGAACACATTTTTTAAGTGGTCAGAAACGTGTAAGTAACTCATGAAAGAATAAAGCTACGTTAAAACCAAGCACACCATTGTTTTTCTTGTGAAATTTCCGATAAGTTTGATGTGTCACATGACCCTCCTCCTATTGATAAAACAAAAGTTGGATTCAAGATGGCCGACTTCACAATGGCCACCATCCATCCTGAAAAGTTTGCATGTTTACAAATGTGTTTAGAAGGGTTAATAATAGGGATGCACCGATATGGATTTTTAGGCCGTTACCGATAACCGATAATTCTTCAGACTTGGAGGCCGATAGCCGATATATATAGGCGGATAATTAAAAATATTTCGAAATGTTATATTTTTATACAGCAAACTTCATAAAAGCTGAAACTCCGCTCTTTTGTACTGAATAGCCTATACTCAAAGCAAAAAAGCTATGATTTCAAAATTACAAAGTGATTATAAAGACTTATAATCACGATTTCACACAAATCAGCATGCAAAAAATACATTATTTCATTTTCTTCATAGCAAATTAGCAGGCAAATTGACTGTTGCGTAAAATTAAAAAGGTTAAATAACAAAAGGGGATTTAATCAACAAGCAATGTAAATATATTTTAAACAAAATGAAAATGAAAGAGCTAAGGACTAAAACCAGCTCATATGTTCTTGAATAAAACGTGTTACAGTGATGTACATGTGTACAAATACGTCATGTTCGAAAAAGCCTTTTTTTAGAGGTGTTTTGACAGTTCAGAGCCACCGAACAAGTGAAAAGCTAGATACAGAATGTATTATTTTAGGAAAATCGACATAAGTTCATCCTATTTGGCGTTTAAGATTATTTTGAACACGTCGCATCAACGCTTCTGTGTTCGTTCTTGCTGTCAATCGCTGTCAAACCACTGTTTAAAATGCTATAATCTTAAAAATAGCACTTATCGGCCGATAATGATATGGCCGCCGATATATCGTACATCCCTAATTAATAACTCTGACTTCAACTGTACCTGTTATACCTTTTTGACACCTTAGTTTAACACAATCATGCTAAAAGCAACTAACCGCAACACTAAAATCACATACCTCCCGGTGGTAGACCCAGCGGCGTATCCAGAACCACGAGCTGATTTGAGCCCCATTGAGTTATCCAGGATCCCGGATGTCGGGACGGGCTTGGGTTTGTACATGTCCTGCGGGAGCATGTGCTGTGAAGATTGGAGCAAGTGTGAGGAAGAACTCAAGCCTACGGATGGATACGGAGCCGGATTCAATGGCGTGAAATCAGGAGTGTAACTCGGCATTTGAGGATTGAGCGATGCTTGAGGAGCCACCGGCTGCAGTGGTGCTTGGAGACTATCTGGCTGAGCCTGCCCTGGACTTAGCCAGTTGGCATTAGTATGGACATCCCACCAAGAAGACGTGGCGTTAGCAGGAGACGCAGTGATTCCTGGATGGATGCCTTTGTACCATGAGCCGTAAGGATGCGTCATGTCTAAATAAGTATTGACGCTTGTAAGGCAATCCGCAGTGGCTTTGGATCCCAAAAGCGAAGGGTCCTGGGAAACACTGGAGGTCTGGAAAGTGGAGAATGGGTTGTATTCGGAGCCGTACGCTCCTGTTGGAGCCGGTGGAGGACTTCCAGTTGGTGTTAGCAAGCCTCCGCTTGAGCTGAATGAGCCGGTGTAAGAGTCCGCGACGCTTTCATTGCGTCCGTTTTTAGCGCTCTGGAGTTCAGAAGTCATGCTGTAGGCCTTTTTAATAGGGATGGTGCTTCCCGGTTTACCAGGTGTGGCAGAATCTCGGACTGGACTGGTGCTCCCGAATTTGTTGCAGGTCGCAGTTAGCATAGCCAAGGGACTGGATCCATAACGTGTTTCCTCCTGAGAAGAGATTTAAAGAGTAATTGCAGTGTTATGCATGCGACATTCACAGTTAAAACTTGAAACATGAATTGACAGCGAGCCTCCTGTGACATTTTATTTCTTTAAAAGAAAAAATTTCCAAGTGTTTCTTAATGAAGAGTTGTTTTTTCTGACATAAAGGGCCCTATCATACACCCGGCGCAATGTGGCGCAAGGCCTGGTGCAATACTTGTTTGCGAGTTCAGCTTGGCGCAAGAGTGGTTTTGAGGCATTGCGCTACGCTGTTTAAATAGCAAATGCATTAGTGCTCATATGTGCGCCCATAGGTGTTCTGGTCTAAAAAGGAAGGCGTTCTGAGGCGGACCGCTGGCGCGTTGCTATTTTGAGAAACTATAATAGATTTTTCATTAGACCAAAACAAACCCGGTCTAAACTCCAGCGCAGAGTTGCGCCTCGCTTACACACTGCTTAATACACACACAAGAGAGCAATAGGCAAATATCTTTACATATGAAAAAATGTAAATATTAAGGATATATATAGGATATAATAAGAATAGATATAGAATATAAATATAAAGGATTAAAATATTACAAAACATATTATTTTCTAGCCTACATGAATATAAACACCACTGCCTTCATGCCTTTTTCATCTCGGGAGGCTTTTTCAGTTCATTCATAACAATTTGCTTTAGTATAATGTTATTATTATTAACAGTATTATTTATTATATCCATATTTATATTTGTTTTATTAAAAACAAGCTTAGATTTGTCCACCTGTCAGGTTTTAGACCATATGGGGCACAGCATGTGTTTTAGGATATAACTCAGGTTTTTGAGCACATTTTGTTATTATTGTTCATTTATTCGTTTGCTGGAAATTAGAACTGAATTTAGAAATAGTTTTAAAACGAATATTTGCGCTTAACAAACAAAAGTATTTATTTATAGACTAATTGATGTCTGTGCGTAAAGGTTTCCCTATCCAAGAGCGAAAGTGAAAGTGATCCATTATCTCTCATTCTCACGCAGTAGATGCTCTGTTTAACTGTTTTCTGTTTACTGTTAACTAGTGAAATGCTCAGTTTTTCCACTTAGACTTACTTTGCGTCCTGTAAATAGTGAATGTGCTTATGGTGCGACGCTGCTGAATCTTAAAGGGAATGGGAGATGAGACTCTGATTGGTTTATTCTCAAAACACACCTATAACTCATTAAGAAAATAAACTCAACCCTTTTAGACCATGCGCCACGGCGCAAAGCAGATTTTCCCGTCCTTAAATTAGCAAAAATGCGTTCTGACACACCCTGAAAGCGTTTGCGCTCTGCGTTTTGCGCTCTGCGCATGGACCGTCAAAATAGAGCCCAATAGTTTTAATAGCTGATTTATTTTGTCTGTGCCAAGGTGACTATGCACAATATCTTACTAGTTCTTACACCCCATTCACAAGGGGCTTCAGCGTCAACGCTTGACAGAGGCCGTGTCTGAAGTTGGGGCTGACGCGATCTTCATAGCAGCGTCAGCCAATGAAATTAGTCAGCAATAGGCCACTGTTTGAGCTAGTGTATTTGCATACAGCGATCTGATTGGCTGAAACTTCCGTCGGTGCTTGAAAAGTTGAGCAAGTGCCAACTTTTGCAGAGAGCAACATCTCTGAAGTGGCGGCGACAGATCCACAATACAGTTCGGCAACACCTGACTTTACCCATTCAAAGTGAATGGTAAGAGTTGAAGCTGACGCCCTGGTGAATGAGGTGTTATGGTGGGACTAATGTTCAGCTTAAAGTGCAATTTTAGGGTTTAACCAAGTTATTTAGGTTAATTAGGAAAGTCACAGGACAACAAGTAGCCTGTTATGTAGACAAGGGGGCTAATAATATTAATAAATTCATTCCTTTATTCATTTTCCTTCGGCTTAGTCTCTTTATTAATTAGTGGTCGCCACAGCGGAATGAACCGCAAACTTATCCAGCAGATGTTTTACCCAGCGGATGCCCTTCCAGCGCAACCCAGTATTGGGAAACACACACACACACACACACACACACACACACACACACACACACACACACACACACACACACACATACACTACGACCAATTTAGTTGATCAATTCCCCTATAGCGCATGTGTTTGGACTGTGGGGGAAACCGGAGCACTCAAAGGAAACCCACGCCAACACGGGGAGAACATGCAAACTCCACACAGAAATGCCAACTGACCCAGCAGGGACTCAAACCAGCGACCTTGCTGTGAGGCTAACCACTAAGCCACAGTGTTGCCTTCGCTTAACTAAGTTTTTTAGATTAATTTAGGTTAATTTGGAAAGTCACTGGACAACAAGCGGTTTGTTCTGTAGACAAGGGGGTTAATAATATTGACCATAAAATTGCTTTTAATTGCATTTATTCCAGCCAAACTAAAAGAAATAAGACTTTCCCCAGAAGAAAAAATATTATGGGGAATACCGTGGAAATTTCCTTGCTCTGTTAAACATTACTTGGGAAATATTAAAAAAGAATACAAGGAGGGCGGATATTTTTTTACTTCACCTGTACATGTTAACATATTAAAACTGTTTGCATTTCACAGAACAACTCACCAGATTTAGAGAAATCAGCAAAAATTTCAATGTGCAAATGTGTTTTATATTTTAAACAAGAGAAATAAGCATGAGTTATGGATGTGAGAAAAAAAAGTCTGCGAGATTTCAGTTTACAACATACTTTGTAGAAATTCTGTGAATTAAACTGCACAACCCAAAAGAAACTGCTAATCAACAGGAGTCTGCTCTCTATCCAACAGAAATGATTTACTTTATTATATATTTTTGCATTTATGAGGAAAAAGAAAGGGTTATGGGAGTGACAGATGTGAAATTGTAAATTGTGCGACTTTGATAAATTAAATTAAATTATTTTAAAACATTGACAGAAACATTTTTGAGTATTTTTGCAGGGTTTCAATAATTTGGTGAACACTTTATTATGTTCATGGCGAGGTTGACATTTGCATGGAATTGCTCATTGCATTTAATAACATGGAAAAATAATGAACAATACATTTGTTACAGTATTTTTTCCATCTCAGTGAATGGATATAGAGATGTTTATTACTAATTCTTGTTAACTTACGGTGCATTAATGCTAAAGAGCATGAATTTGGATTTGAGTAAGGCATTGGTAAATGTTGAACTGTGAATAATAAATGTACAAGTATTGTTCATATTCAGATGCATTTACTAATGAAGCCTTAATGTAAAGTGTGAACGAGACGATTAATAAAATATAAAGAGCAATTGCAGCATTATGCGCGTGACATTTGCAGTAAACACAGAGAACGTACGGTTGAAGTCAAAATAATTAGTTCTCGTGCAAGTTAAATGTTAAATATTTATTGCTTAACAGAGGCTTTATTTGTAAATATAACAATTTTAATAACTTTTATTGTCTTGTGACCGTGCATATTTTAATAGTTGATTTAAAAGGGCTTTTATAATCAAGAAGCTTTCTCTAGACAAGCAAAACATACAGTCTTGTTTTAAAAAAACAATATGACAAAATTAGGTGAGTTTTTTCTTAAAACAAGCTAAATAATCTGCCATTGAGGAAAGCAAAACAATCAAACTTTAAAGTGAAAACTAAATTATTTAGCTCACTTATTATTGCAGATTATTTTGCTTGTTTTAATTTAAAACTCACATAATTTTGGCATATTATTTCTTAAAGAATATATATTTTTTGCTTGTCTAGAGAAAGCTTCTTGATTTAAGACTGTTTAGACATTTGGACTAGAAACAAGACAACAATTCCAGCAGTTTTGGCAGTGAAGCCTCCACAAACAACCTGGGTTTCGCTATTGTGCTGAAATATTTATTTTTTTCATGGAAAGCTTGACATTTGCATGGAATAAATGCATTTATTAACATGAGCAAACAATGAACAATAGATTTATCACCGTATTTTGTTTGAGTTAGTTAATGAAAACACTGTTGTTGGTTCATGTTAACTCACGATGCATTAACTAATGATAACGAGTATGAATTTTGATTTTAAAAAAGGCATTGGTAAATGTTGAACTATGATTAATAAATGCTGTACAAGTATTGTTCATATTCAGATGCATTTACTAATGAATTGTAAAGTGTGAACGAGACGATTAATAAAATGTAAAGAGCAATTGCCGTGTTATGCAGGTGACATTTGCAGTAAAAACACAGAGAACGTACGGTTGAAGTCAAAATTATTTGCTCTCATGTAGAAGTTAAATGTAAAATATATATATTTTCCAAGTATTGCTTAACAGATAGGGCTCTATTTTGATGGTCCATGCGCAGAGCGCAAATCGCAGGGCGCAAACGCTTTCAGGGCGTGTCAGAACGCATTTTTGCTAATTTAAGGACGGAAAAATCCGCTTTGGGCCATGGTGCATGGTCTAAAAGGGTTGAGATTATTTTCTTAATGAGTTATAGGTGTGTTTTGAGAATAAACCAATGAGAGTCTCATCTCCCATTCCCTTTAAGAGCCAGCTGCGTCGCGCCATAAGCGCGTTTTGACGTAAAGTAAGTTCACTTTCGCTTTTGCGCTCGTGGATAGGGAAACCTTTACACACAGACATCAATTAGTCTATAAATAAATACATTTAGTTTGTTAAGCGCAAAGATTTGTTTCAAAACTATTTCTAAATTCAGTTCTAATTTCCAGCAAACGAATAAATGAACAATAATAACAAAATGTGCTCAAAAACCTGAGTTATATCCTAAAACACATGCTGTGCCCCATATGGTCTAAAACCTGACAGGTGGGCAAATCTAAGCTTGTTTTTAATAAAACAAATATAAATATGGATATAATAAATAATACTGCTGATAATAATAACATTATACAAAAGCAAATTGAATGAACTGAAAAAGCCTCCCGAGATGAAGAAAGTAAGGCAGTGGTTTTTAAATCTTCATGTAGGCCAGAAATTAATATGTTTTGTAATATTTTAATCATTTATATTTATATCCT